CTAATTAGTGGCAATAATTCAAGTGTTTCACTTTGCTAGGCACCAGTTTGCACAGAATTTACAGGGACTTTATATCCTTTTTTCAAGCTTGACATTGTTTTTTCTGTAGTAGGCCATGTACCAAATTATGTGTGGATATTTTTCGTTAAAGATCAAGAGGTTTCACTAAACTGCTGAGAGATGTGCAATGCTGTGGAAGTCATTTAAGGGTTTTCTTGTTCTGATCCATCCTGGTAGGCCTAAGTCTGCTCCCAGTGGTTTATGAGATTGTAAAGAGAGGAGGGAAAAACCCCCACAATTCTGTATTTTTACAGGAGCCAATAGATTCCAGGGAGTGTAGAAGCCCAGCAATCTGCAGAGCCCTCCAAAGTACCCTCAGCTTGTGCAGAGGCAGGAGTCGTTGAGTAGAAGAGTACTGTCCCCGGCCCCAGTGCTGGGGGGAGGCAGAGGTTGGCTTTTGAAGTGCTAAGCTGCAAAGATTCAGGCTCCTTCGGACAGGAGCTGAATGTCCTGGTGAGAAGCACTGTCACAGAAAACTGGCTTGTAGCATGCTGTATCTGGTCAACTATGGTTGACCAAACATTCTACTGAGTTCTGGTTCCAAAAGTGCTGTCCCAGAAAAATCAAAAATAGGGATGAATTAGTATTAAGAAAGGAATTTGGTTGGTTGGGTTTTTTAATGGAGTTTGTAATCCGTTCTGCATTACTCTAGGAGAGTTTTCTGCCTCAGACAGCTCCCTCACCGATATCCAGGAACAAAGACGGCAGCCCATGCCAGACCCTGGTCTTATGCCATTGCCTGATTCTGCCTCTGATCTGGACTGGTCAAACTTGGTAGATGCTGCCAAAGCCTTTGAAGGTAGGTTTTCAGAATATAATACTTAAAGCTGGTCTTTGTGCATGCTTCATTAAGGAGTGGGGGGTGTTTGTTGTTTTGGTTTTTAATCTTGACTCTTGCTTTTGTTGTTGTTACTGTTTCTACTTAGTCTGAAGCTTAAGCTCATTTAAAATAGAAAGTCTTAACAGCCTAAAACTTTGTATGTAATACTCAGATACCGTTTCTTCATTTTGAAATTCCTCTGTGCTATGGTTTGGCCAAATATCTGTGCAACTGGCTACTTTTCATTTCATGTAGAGCAGTTACAGACTTCACAGCTAGGGTGGAAAAGACATCTGGCACAAAAGTGCAAAAGTAAAGTCAAATAGTAGGGGAAAAGCATATGAGCACACTAATGATTGCTTGGTTACTGCACTAGCCAGAAGTTTATGTAGTGCAGTGGAAGTGTGCTGCCAAGGTAATTCGGGAATTATGCCTTGTTGGTATATACTTTTCCATTGCCATTCTTCACTTTGTGTGCTCTGGATACATAGACTTGCACATAAGTGTCGATTCATCCTATGCACTTTCTATCTCCGTGACACTTGGTAAACTGAAGAGAACTGTAAGCTGCCTAGATGTATTTGAATTTAAAATTAAATACACTTCAGCCCAAAGGGAGTTTACCTTACAGTTACTATAATCCGATGGAAGAGTCTTCTAGGTGCATTAAATCGAAGTGACTTTTCCTAATCTCGGCATAAATGCTGTCCCGCCTTCAAGAAAGTGTTTTCACTGATCCTGAATCTTTTAGGCATTGTTCTGCATGGTTAGAGAAGGCTGTTCTTGGTAGTACTCGTGTTCATCATTAAGACAGTGCATGTCTAAGCCTGGTGTTCAAGATGTACATGTGTGCTCTGTTGCCATAGGAGTTGTCGGATCAGCATATCTCATATTTCTTTTGTGCAGTCTTGGGAAAGAGTATAAAAAGTAAGCCTTAGTCCTCAAGAGGAGCTGAATTTGTAGTGATGGTTTTGTTCACCGCCACATAGGGATGACACCCAGGTTTTAATGCATTTCACTGTGGTTGGCAATTTCTGTTTAAAAGATCTCTGGTTTTGGCTAGATTTATTTGACTGTCCTCATTAACCTGAATCCTTCACTTTTGTGGGCCCCACTTCTGTTTCTCTTTAGAAGTGTGAACAAAGTCCGTGGGGCAAAGGTAAACTGACAGCTCAGTTGAAGAAAACCTGGGGTAATGTGTTGGCTGGCACCTCCATCTGACCGCTGTAAAAATATATTCAAATTTGACTTGGAGAGGGAACAGCTGTCTGATGTCAATATAATCCCAGTCTCTAGTCACTGTCAGGTGCCAGTAGGGATTGACAAGTACCAAGCAGCCTAAATTCTGATTTGTGATCCTGGACACCCCTCTTCTACACCATTAATTGATGTCTTCAGCACAAGCCTCTGAAGTTAACAAATAGTGGTATCTGCAACCAGCTGAAACAAAAGCTGCCTGCATCCCTGAGCTATACCAACCTGTAGTCTTTTCATTCAAAGGAAAAAAGAGAGGAGCAGGAAAAATTCCATCAAATACCAAGGCACATTAATTTTAGCCTTGTTGAAAGCACAGAATAAAAATTTGCTGAGCAGAAGAAGATGATACTGTTCTATTTGCAGTGAGAAACCAGCAGCTGCTGAGGGAGAGAGATGTTAATTTATTAAACTAGAAAGTGTTTATGTTGCTGTTTGTGCTAGGAGACTCCAGAGGTAGGGGCAGTCGGGTAGTTTAGTGTCACACCACATGTGACAGTGATTTAGAGATGTGTTAAAACATCTGAGCGGTTACAGGACAAAAAGTATAGAGACAAGGCAGGAAAGAGGTTTCACGTTTCAATCTGAAAATGTTTTCTAAGACATAAGGAAGAAATTTCAGGTTCTGAAAAATTGTATTGGTCATTTTACTTTCACATGTAAATTGTGCATAGTGAGCTTTTCTTTTCTCAAGATAAAGGGATACTTTATGGAGTGAAGGAAACTAAATATGGTTACCAAGTTATTGGGTAGTGTCATGCAGTTGTACCCGGGAAGTTCTGCACAGCGCTGCTGGTTCCAGCTTGGCTTCTTGCCTCTCTTGGAACTGGCCTTGAGTGGACTCTGCAAGCACCGCCGGGGTATCTCTGCTTTGCACTCTCTAGCATCTCCCTCCTGGAGAGCTTCTTAGCCTGAGGGTGATGCATGATCTGTGTGAGGATGCAGTGCTGTGCCAGAGCTAGTACTTGCTTCTTGAATCTAATACAGTGGAGAACTTGGTGCAAACACTTGCAATGCCAGTTTGCTTCTGTCAAGTGGATATTGGTATGTCATATCATCATCTTATCTTACTTGAAACAGACTTTCTTACATTGCTTTGAGATCCTGCAGTGTAACTGTTGCGCTATGCATGAACAAATAATCATTACTGCTGCCGTTGTTTTTCTCTGTATGTTTGCCTTCTCAGTTCAGCGAGCTTCATTTTTTGCTGCTGCTGATGAAAATCACAGACCTGTGAGCGCTGCCTCCAGTAGTGATCAGGCTGAGGACCAGCTTACTGCACAGATAAAGCCTTATACAGGGTAAGTAAACGCACCAGATATGCAGGCTTCCTTAGCTACAAAATTTGGAAGCCATCTCCAGGCTTCACAGAAGAACTCTTCACATGTTCTCATGAAGATGGTGGTGGGAAGTGAAAACAGAATAATTATAAGTCCGGTTGAACCTTTTTGCAGGTTCTTTCTTGTCTAAGATGTTCATGAACATCTTCGAAGCAATGGTAATAATTCAAGGCACATATAATGAGTAGGAGTAGAGAGAAGTCAAATGATGGGATGGCCCCAATTAATCACGAGTTTTCTGTTGATTAATGTGCTAGATGTGTTCCATGTGCTCTTTGTTTAAGTTCTTTTTTGTTTGTTTTGTGAATTCTTAGTGTATCTGAGTGCATACCTACATAAAGCCACTTAGTGTAGACAAGGCTGTTAGCTGCCCTATGTGAAGAAGACAGTAAATCATATCAATACCTATTCCTGTTTCCTGCTTTCAACAGTAAAGAATCTCCTCCAACTCTCGCCTCTAAAGTGGACCAACTGGAAGGTTTGCTGAAGATGCTGCAAGAGGATTTAAGGAAGGTAAACATTTCATCTACAGAAAATCTGTAAGATGCGTATTTAGTGCTGATAGGTGACGCCAATAACTGTGTAATCCACTTTGCCATGTCTGTGCCTGTGACAGGCTCATCCTTGTATGAGAAAAAGACCTTTCTTTGCTACTTTTCTCAGGCCACACTTGTAATTATGCAAGGCTAGGATAGAGTGTCTAAATTTGTAGGCATTTGATTCCTCTGCTTACATTAGGAGGGTGATTCAGGTGACGCTGTGAAAGGCTTGTAGTTAGTCCATGTAAATATATCCTGCTGATCTTGAAAAGTTGACAGTATTATCTAAACATACAATTTCTACTGTGGAAACTTCCTGTATTGTGTTACTGCCTCCTTGGTCCAAGAAGGATCTGCTGTGGTCAGATGAAAAGTCTTTTAGCTGGGGAAGCATTTGCAGGAATATTTCCTATCCCTGATTTGGTTAACCATCAGCAGTTGTACATACATGTTGTACATATAGAACAGGGCATGCCCAATTTTATTTCACCACTTGGGGAGCCAGCTTCTGTATTAGAATTTGACATAGAGAAATACTGCTCATGCAAGCAAAAAGTGAGGAATGAAATGTCACACACTTTCCACTAAGATCTGTATTTTTCTTCATGCCTAAGGAAAAAGAGGACAAGGCCAGTCTTCAGGCTGAAGTGCAACATTTGCGGGAAGACAACTTGAGGTTACAGGAGGAATCCCAGAATGCAACCGAGAAACTGAAGAAATTCACCGAATGGGTTTTCAACACCATTGATATGAACTGAGAACAGTGTTTGGAGAAGGAAACTATCTGTTATGAATATTATTACTGGGACTTAAGCTTTAATGCCACCTTAATCATGACATGTGAAAGTATAGTCAGAGCACTTCCCTGTCCTTCATCCTCCAATAACCCTTTTTTGCATCTCTGCGCGCACTCAGAACAATTGCAGATCAACAATCAATGTCTGCCTTTTGTAGAAAAAACAAAGTAAATAATTTTAAAAAGGTAAAATAAAAGTTTAACTGCTAAAATGTGAATGTCTATTTTTTGCACATTGTCTCTTTATCTGTTATGTACAAAATGATTTGGAGGCGGGATCAGGCTTGCTGTTCCATCTGCCTCTGTTCCCATTAACTCCTTTCTCTGTTTCAGGTAATCTGCTTTTCCTTGCAGCTTTGGCAAATATTATGACATCTAGAAAATTAGAAATGTTTATTTTACTGCTCTTTACATTGTTTTCTGAAGTATGCCACAGACAAGGGGATGTGATGCAATGTTTTAGGTGTCTCCTTAGCAATTTGCGCTTGATTGCTAGTGCTACCTTCCCATACGTTACAGAGAACGTGTGTCCGTAGTGTATGGTACAGTACAACCAGCATCATAACATTTGAGAGAGATTAGAGATGTGAGCCATGGGTGAGGCACATTATCACACATCTGTTGCATTGGCATTTTCAGTAGCCGTTGTTTCCTGTGGAAACGATGGCTGCAAGTACCTTTACGAACAGCAAAACGAGGCATGCTGCAGTTCATGCTGTATCAGGCAGGCTGAGAGATGCTGACCACCATTGCTGTACCGCTTAAGTATAGTCCCCTTCCCTTCCAGGGGAATCTGTTCCTTGCATATGCACAGAAGACTTAGGCTGAAGTTGTAAAGAGATTAAGATTTCTTTCTCCTGAACTGTTTCCATGAAAATACACATAAACCATCTCTACACACCTGCCTTCCCATTCCATTTCTCTGGACTTCTCAAATCACAACAGATTTGAGAAATATTTATTCAAACTTGCTTTTTATTACATAAGAGGTCTTACAAATCCTTTACTATGGAAGACAGAGGAATATGTAAAGGTGAATTCGAGAAGCCTTTTTCATTTTTTCAAAGCAGTGGGATAAGATTGGAGCTGTGAAATCCCCGGTTGCCAGTGAAACTGTCTAACGTGAGATTTCCCAAACTGCCTCATGGCAGGAAAGTTAATTTCTTGTTCTTTGAAGGAACAGCTGACTTACCACAATGTGTTACCTCTCCAGAAAATACCTTTTAGGTGTCAGAATATGACTTTTTAAGTGCTGCAGTCTGCACGGGCATTGAACTGTGCAGCGTGCTGAGAAACCTTTTCAGCTCTCTTCTGAGGATACGGTTACTACCTTAAATACTGCCTTGCATAAAGTGCAGTATATTTGGGGGTTAATTTCAAGAGCATCCACTCCCTCCCCTTTACCACATTCTCAAATAGGCAGATTAAAATCATCAGGCATAGTCTTGTCACAGAAACTTCCACGCTCTTTTCAAATCCCTTTTTCGTGCTCTTTAATCTTGCTCCACACAAGTACACACTACACTTCAACCTCAAACTTCATTTGTGATGCTAATCCCCATGGAGTTCTTCTCTAATGTTTTGTCATGGAAATGGATCTCTTTGGAACTATTTCTGGAGTGCTTTTGTAAAGGTTTAGAATGTCTTGGGTTTTTTAATGACTTGTATGAAGGAGATTTATATAATGCCTGATATTATTTGTAAATGGGAAATATTGCTAACATCTCTGAGCATCCTGGAGTCTTGCTTTTATTCTCTTTTATTTTTGTTTGGTTTTATTTTATTTCCAAAAATATTTTGGGACTTGGGGCAGACTATTTATTAGAGTTTTGCAACAGAGTTCTTGTATGATGCCACTGAAGGCTACTTGTAAAATTCTGACAATAAAACTCATTTTAAAGGCTCTTCTAAACCATTTTCTTCTGATTTTGTTGGGTTTGTTGTTTAAGACTTTCCAGAGTATCCATTTCTTCCTGCTTTCTTCTTATACCACTTTTCTCAGTGCTTAGTGATAGAAGAGTTCCATTCTCCATCAGATTTCTACTTTTTGTCCCTTTGAAGGCCATTACTTGGTACGTAGACACGCACTTCATCCCTTTAGTTTTTACTTTTATTACTTGCACAAACGTATTTTCTTCCCCCATTTACAAGGTTTTGCTACCTTCAACAGTGACTCCAAGCTTCACCAGGCTGATGTGGTAGAGGGGCAGTGGTTTTTTATAATGTATGAGGATTTTAGAATTTACTTTGAAAAATTGAAGCCGATGAGGTCAAAACCAAACTTGCCTGGCACATCTGCCCAAGGGCGCACACAGCTTTCAGCATCCCAGAGCCAAACCTGTGAGCAGACAACAGTAGGTGTTAGGTTTGGTGGGGTGGAGCAGATACTCTGTTTGCTTTTTTTTCCAGATTTCCCTCTTTGACTTGGGAGATGACCTGGAACGTGTTTTGAACAGACCTGTTCTTGGCCCAGTGGATCAGCATTCCGCACAGCTCAAAAATGCAGAGCTAGGTTGGTCTGCAGGAAGGCGTCTTCCAAGTTCACTGAATGGATCCTTAAGAGGCAAGTGGGGAAAGAAAATCCATCTCTTCCTGGCAGTGAAGTTGCCCAACCAAGAGAGCTCTGAGGCAGGAAGAGCAAACAGAAGCATCTGACTGAAAAATAAGGGCTGAATCTTCGAAAGAAAACGAGATGCTGTTTTACCCTTTGTAACTGGATACTGGTAATTGAGTTGAAGCAGAAAGTTTCCAGCAGGTCAAGGAGTTACCCTGCCCACATTCATCATGGATTCACGCCGAAGGTTCCCACGCTCCACCATGCACACTGCTGGGTCAGGCTAGACCAGGGCAAGATCTAACTGGCAGGCATCTCCTCAACCTGAGTAGTTACTGGCCTAAGCAGACAGCAGGTGGCTGTGGGAGGAGTGTGGATAAGAGGGGCTGCCTTCCTATTTCACCCCTTTCTCCCAAGAAAGTGATCTTTTATGTTCCTGGAAACAGTTTTGTATTCCTCATCTACGTTCCAGTGTGAAGATGCCGTTCTCCCTGTGACAGTGTTTTGCATAGCCAGATGTGGCTGGTACGGCAGCCGAAGGCTGCCTTCTCTCAAAAGCCCCAAAGCACGGGGGGCTGCAGCTTGCATGATGGATAATGCCGCATCAGCAGTGCAGGAGGGTGTAGGTAATGGGTCAGGGGGTATTGGGCTGTGGTAAGAGGCGAGCTGTGAGGCATGCAGGAGCTGGGACTGTGAGGGGAGAGGCTGGTGGGACGGGGAGTGGGGAGCTAGTTATGGGGTTAGGGGAGAGGTGTTGTGGGGAAGAAATGCACCACATCCAGGTTTTACTCTTACTCTAAAAGCGTGGTTGCTGTATGATAGCCTGTTGTTTCTGCGGGAGCTGTGTTCCAGCCTCATGAATGGGTATTGTGAGAGAGCCTTTTCCCTGGCTTTTCCTTTTGTGCGAAAGGTCCCCATGAACCAGGCACAAGCTGGGGGGGAGTGTCTTGTCTGTTCTTAAAACCTTCATGTAATCCTTCTCACGTCTCCTAGTGCCTTCTTTCAGGTAGACAGTTAAGAAATCTTCTCTTAAGAGCAGTCTGCTGTCTCCTAGCAGACACTTCAGTACGGTGTCAGTCCTGTACGTGAGCACCTTGCTTTGCTGCAAGGCAGCAGCGGAACAGAGGCGGGTGCTGTTTTTTCAGCTCGGGGTGCGGAACAGAGGCGGCTGCTGTTTTACCAGCTGGTATGGCATCCAAAATGGGATTCCCTGGAGGAGAGAGGACACTGTCCCTCCTCCACTGCTGCACTTGGAGCAGAGACATGGGCTTTGCTGAGGCAGTTACTAATGGGTAGGAGCTGGGCAATGAGATGATGAGGCTTGTACAGATGCCTTCACCTCCCTGATACTAGCTGTGGTGAGGAAATCTTTCCTGTGCTGTTAGAGGTAAAACTGGGGCTGAAAGAGCTCAGAAATATTTACTTCAGAGCTCTGCAGTAAGAGCCCCTTCCCCTAGCAGAGGTTTCAGCTTCAGCTGGGCACGAGGGGAGCGAAGCTGAGGAGTTTGTATCAGTTGGACTTGTTGGAGGCCAGGGTCTGGGTTTGGAGCCCTGTTTCCCCAAAGCCGGCAGTGGCTGATGGCAGCTACCTACACCCCTTTTCTGCAATGGAGACCTGCTGCAGCGACTATCCGGGGCAGAGAGACCCTCTCCTCCTTTTCACCGCAGCAGGCTGGGGGAGTCCTGCTCAGTCTTAGGGAGATGCAGCTGGCTGCCAGGGGACCTTGCGGGGTTTTACCCCACTTGGTATGCAAGGTCACAGCAGGCAAGTCCCTCTCTTCAGCTTCTCTTGTGCTTGCATGGACCTGTCCTCCTCCAGAAGAGGGTTTCAGTGTGTTACAACCGGCTTGTGTTTCTGCCAGAAGTTTTCTCTCAATGATTTAAAGTGGGCTGGGCAGTTTGTGGCACAGTAAAGTGTGGGCAAATTGAGTGAGAGCTTCCATGGGGAATAAAACTGGGGTGCTGCAGCAAGCTGCACAGCCTTCCCAAACCGTGGAGGGTAGGGGCTGCAGAATTTGTGGTCTATCACAAGGTAACTCAGGTTGGAAGGATCTTCAGGAAGTCTCTTGTCCAATCTCCAACCAAAGCAGGCTCAGCTCTGAGGTCAGACCAGGTTGCTCAGAACTTTATCCAGTTGGGTCTTGAAAACCTCCAAGGCTGCAGACTGCACGGTCTCATTGGGCTCTATCCTCAACATGAAAAACTTTCTCTTTTTATCAGGGTTATTGGTAGAAATGTGTAACCTGAGCAGCAGTTGGAGGCTACGTTTTGCCTACATTCCTCCAGGAGCTCATGAGGCAGGAGTCTACCCTCCTTGAAAGCCGGCGTGCTGTCCCCTGCCCTGCGCCAGCAGCAGAGCCTGTGCTTTTGCTTTCCAGTTGTCACGCCTGGCAGGAAGGAGGCCCCACGGCTTGGTGTGTGCTGAGCTTTGTTTGCTGCACTAATGAACTCAGTATCGCTTATTCATGCTTTGACCAAGGCCTGGATAGAGCCCCCTGGCTCTGCTTCACTCTGCACTGCCTGTGAGAAGGGCGCGGGTGCTGCCAGGCGGGGAGGCACAGCGATCACTGGGCTGGCGATGCTCTCGGCCACTGAAGGAGGCCTGTCAGCTTTTGGCACGCAAAGAAGTCAGAGACTGAAACTAGGATCTGTTGAAGG